GGTGTCGGTTACTATGGTAAGGCCACATAACTTATTCTAGCTTCTGGACAGGTTAGTTTACCCATTCTTCTTCAGCCACATTTGACCCTGATAATTATTTACGTATCAATCCTGACCGTTTTGATATGTGTGTATGTGTGTACATCGTATCCTACTCACCACATATCTGAAGCTTATTTTTGTGCAATTGTAAATATTGAATAACGCTTGATTAAATGGAGTTGGCTCACACGCCACCTCTACTGCGCGTCATTTTTCTTCGTTCTCCTTGCTTCTCCAATCCGCTTCGCTCTTCCTTCTTTATTTGGTCTCCCTGATTGCCTGTTGAAACCAATGAATACCTGAAATATACAAAATCAAGACCCGTTCTCGTATTGGACTTATTTAATTCCGTTAAACACCATCGCCATTTAAGTCGATGATATTATGTGAGGATCGACGATATATATATTTCGACAGCAATCATTCATACGATCTAATTGGAGTCATATCTCGGGCAACAAAAATGGTGAGCCCGTCAACAACATCATGCGGTTCAAATGACATTGAAATGAAGGGCCATATTAAAGTACATCCAAGAACATCGACACCTCCAGTCACACCAGACACACCTTGGCACCACTTGACCTTGGTCAACAACTCACGGTTGAGAACAAAGAGACAAGCTACTTACAAACTAGAAGACCGATGTTACTGTAGAGCAGCATCAGATGATGAAGCAAACCATTAGGTGCCTCTATAGCAACCTAAGACGGCCAAGAAGTAGACTGGGGAAAAGCAGAAACATATGCTTTATGTTAGACCTGGATATCATAGTCCTCACTGAAACACAGCTATCACTCGACGTCATAGATGAAGAAGTGCAGAATTATGGTTTATTTTTTTGTTTCTACTGCTCTAATAAGAGACTTAATCCCAAAATTGCTGATTTGTCATGTGACTATCTAATCTATATAATTTTACGTGGAAGTTACATAACTGCCTATTCTGACTTGTCGTATCATTAAACTCCGTGATACAGCGTTAGGCGTTTGCAAAGAACACATTTGGGCTGGAGATAGAACAACATAATTAATATTAATAAGAGCGATAAGTTATACAAGAATGACCGCTCATGCAAGGCTGAATCATGTCATCTAATTGATGAGTCAATGTTCACGCGTTCATCATTCTTATCTCTCCAACATTGTTACATGTTGAAAGTGGATTTCCTCAGTGATTCTGTGTTCAGCTTTAAAGATCGTGTACTTAGGACCCGATACCACTACAAAAAGGGCTTGCAAGACGTGACACTTTGCAGATACTATAGGGTACATAGACAGAAGGTGGGGTGGGGGTATACATTAACAGTCACTTCAAAGCCTTAGTACCACACAATACCGAATTAACTGCGGCGAAAGAAAAATGCTGGTGTTGCTTAAATGTAAGTGGTACAAAGTACTTGAATGGAGGATTATACCGACTGTACACGGGTTCTAACACCCAATAACGAAAGATAATACAGGAGATACTAAAGCTGCCTCAGCTAGAGTTTGGCCAAATACTACTAGCTGGAGGTTACAACAACTAGCGATTCCAAAAACCCACAGAAACGTACGCAAGAATTTTGTAGTTATTCGCCATTCAACTATATGGGACAGATTGCCAGTGGACATCTGTTGCCGCGAAACTACAATCCGTTTCAAGAGTGTCCTTGATGACCTTCGTTCTGAGAGTAGATTTTGTCACTTTTTGAATATCAATGTGTTTGATAATGATTTATACAAACAAGGTCCGTTATCCATGTAATTGATTAAAAAGCAAAATGTACCCTTTGAAACTTTTCACGTCTATTTTATTTTATTTCTATTCATCTTAATATATGAAGTCTGCTCATGTTCGCATCTATAATTATTACTGTTACTGATATCATTATTGATACCTCGACACATTAGATATTATCTTCATCTCTTCTTATCCTTCTAAACATGTATTATTCCTAAACATCCAAAATCTATAACTAAAAAAACTACCTCACGGTACACTTAAATAAATTAACTTCTCACATTCCTTTTATCTTCAACTATACATATATATAACATAGAAATATGTATTTGAATATCCTTTGCAATTAATTGCGACTTTCATAGCATCCTTCGTAATTGTTATTGCACAAATATTTATATTAATATCTGGTTTCACTCTGCATACTATTACATAAATCTATATGTATTTATCCGAGCGCATTAAAGGATTTTTCGTCTTACTTTATTTTCTTCGAATTGCTAGTTTACTTGAGAGATCGATATTCATTACACAATTATTATTATCATGGTTGAACCCCTTCGCTAGGTGTTCATTTTTTTCTTTTTTCCATCTAAATAAATATTATTCTTAAGTTTACGAAGTTTGTAATAAAGACAATAACATGTATTGCACTTAAATCAAACTCGTTTCATCTTCACTATGTATATATGACTCATAAATATTGATATTTCATTATCCTTTTCACTTAAATGAGACTTTCATCTCATCATTCCGGACCATGACTGAACAAACGTTTATTCTAGCGTCATATCTTATTGCAGTAGTAAGTCATTTTTTCATAATTATTTTCTATTTTATTTTTGTTACTAATTTGACGACACATACATAGTCGTTTATTAACCCGCCTATTAAACTATTCGAATATTTCACGTCTCCTTTATTTGAATTCCCTTGTTTTCTTCCTTTCCTTCTTTAAACTCAATTCAATATCCTTCTCAATTACACACAACCTGATTTATCATTATTGTTCTATTATTATTACTATCTTTTTCAAATATAATGCTAACATTATTTAAACTTGTGTATTATTGCATTTTTGAGGAAACCCGAAATGGTTTCTTCACAACACTTATGTACCCATAAGATGTTTGTGAATAATAATAACACTCCATCCCTAAGCCTCGGCTACGAGGATAAAACCCCTACAAAGTGGTTCCATAAGCGGCTTTCCATAACAATTAGAAGTTCAGGACTGACAGCATGTGCGTGCCGACACAAAATGGGACAGCAACAGAAAACACTCAAAATTAGATTATATACTGATGAGTGATCAGCTTCTGGTTGAGGATGTCCATGTCCACGCACCAAGAGGAATTAGTGAGTACGGTGTGGTCATGTTTAACATGGCCAAAAACAAGATAACTGGGTGGAACAAGAATGTCTTCTACCTTAGTTACGCCAGAGTACACTATGTGACGAAAAGGTTGCATCTTCAACACGCCCCATGGCCATGAGAATGGTGAGGGCTAACTGTAGGTGACCTCAGAGGGGCAGCAAGGGATATCGTTCAGTACAGCATCAAACACTGTGTACCTTATGGTAAGCGCACACCCGAAAAGCAGAGATTTTTGAATCAGGTGAAGCACAGAACGCTCGCTACAGTTCAAACAGAGATCCTGGAACATTTGGAAAATCCCATTAACGGAATCTGATCGCTATTTTTACTAGGCATTGAGAAACATGAAATATCAAAGTTGAAAGCGACGGGAGATGTTTTTGGGTCAGGCTATCAGTTTAAGTGCAAGTTAACCCCGAGTGTCTCCACACATTCATAACCAGAAGACGTGCACTCCCAAAGTGCCAAAAAGTAAGGATTTCACTCATTAAAAATGGCAGACCAACTAAATCAGGATCTTGAAAGTGTGACACACCTCCCTACCCTAGTGCCAGTTAAAGGTCCGGAAGATACCCAGCCAACTCCTGGATTAGTGTTAAAAAGAATCAAATCCCTGTGCCCCGGGAGTTCAACAGCATGTGACAACCTATAATCCTGAAGCAGTGCGCAAAAGTCGACAGTACATAGTTGCACAACACATTCAGGCACCTTTTCGATTCTCATCAACTGCCAAGAGAAAGTAATCAGGCCACTCCTCCTCCAATCGTCAAAACGAGTGATAAAAAACATCTAGTCTGCCGCAGACTAATCTCACTGTCAGAGGTGATGGAAGGACTAGCTAGTGAACAAATGTGGGAATACATGGGTAAAAATTATCCTCCACCAAGCCCAACGTGAGTTCAGGAAAGACAGGTCTTGGGCAGCCAATTCACTTATAGCATGGGAAAGCTTGACAACCTGATGGATCCATATGGTACCAGTTCATGTAACATTTCGCGACTTCACAAAAGCCTTCAACAATACCTCATGTACTTCCCATAATGAAAGTTGTGAAGATGGGTTTCACGGACCCACTTTTATCCTGGCACTGGAATACGTGGTGCACATGACGGTTCGTAGCAAAGAAAATAGAGTTCAGGCGAGTTAGAAGATCTTTACAGTAGGAATTAGTTTTACCTAGCCTACCCAATACGAGGATATTACCAGAATACCATCACCACGTTCCTCAAGGAAACCCTCCTCAGATCTTACGTGAAAGAGCCAAAAAACGTGCATAGATTTACTTTCTGCATTACGAGATGCCGCCATTTAAAATGTTTTTCCGGCCGAAGTGAATTCAACCCCCTCAGTGGAAAGCTTCATGAGATCTGACAAACACTTACTCATGGATTACCAACTCCATTTCGGACTAGCCTTCTGATTTATGTCTCACACATTATCACGGTTATCACTAACGCATACCAGCAACTACTTTTTATCTCTGTTGTTATCATCTCAGTTTCTTTCAGTCCCATCTTCTTACACATCATCTAATTAACGTAGTTATTATTGTTGTAACAGTTAACTTCTTCTGGCAATCAAATTATCACTTTATTATTTTCAAATTAAAACCAAACAACCTCCTTACTGGTAATGTGTTAGCTGCTGGTATCCAGAAACCCTATTGCCATGAAACAAACGCACTCAACTACAAGATATACAAATCCACAAATAACTACAACATCGGGAAGAGTTAGCGCAGTTGATTAGTTGCGTCATCACCCACTGGAACCTTGCCGAGATCATAAGAAGCAACTGCGAAACAATCAATGGGTTTATACAACCACCTGACAAAGGTATTGGATATTGGACTCTAACTGGACATTTGACATTTAGGCGGTTATTTGTGGAAAACTAATGACCTTGTTTAGCAGGAGATGTGTTTTCAATCTTTCTCCCTTAGTTGAGGTTTCGGCTGCACAGCTGCATTTGGGACACCACAATTCAAAATATAAACTAGTTGTTGATCCTCATAAAGAAGATACTATTAAAAGTGGTTTTGAGAATGTGACGAGATGGCTAATAGCAGCAGATATATTGAGAGGTACTAAATTTACTGATAAACGGTATTGATTATCACAGGTCTACGGCTAACCCTTGGTATGGTGTTTAAGGAGCCTGCAACTTTAAACTACCCTTTCGAGAAGGGTCCTCTCAGTCCAAGATTTCGTGGTGAGCATGCTTTACGTAGGTACCCTAGTGGTGAAGAACGGTGTATCGCTTGCAAACTTTGCGAAGCTATATGTCCAGCTCAAGCAATCACTATTGAGGCTGAGCCAAGAGCTGATGGGAGTAGAAGGACGACTAGATATGATATTGATATGACCAAGTGCATTTATTGCGGATTTTGCCAAGAAGCGTGTCCAGTAGACGCCATCGTAGAGGTGACCAATTTGTTCTTTTAAAGTGCTTACTATACTCGTAGTAATAAAGAGCATTTGGCTAATTTTCTAGGCTGCATACCAAGCTTGCATTAATGTAACTTTCAGTTGATACTATTACTGGTCATTTCACAACAGCGAAATCCAAATCTACTAGGAAATAATTGGTAATACTTTGTGAAGGTTTTAAGTTAAGAACTAATAGTTGACTTGTGGAATCTCCCTTGTGAGTTTATGTTCATATTCCCACTTTCATAGTAAGGGAAATGTGTTTATTCAGTGGCTGACCTAGCGAATACTTTTGCTGAATTTTACTGTTCGTTTAGTAAGCCCTAGTATTTTTAAAACGTCGTGTTCATATGCAAACTTTGAGTTTAACAGCATGATGTCACCCTTTCAAGAGCTATATCCGTAACGTCTCGGGCGGCATATGGACGCTTATTAGTGTATTACTCGGAGTGATGGAATTTCCACCCTACCATTTGGTAATTTTAAAGCATTAGGAAATTTACACACAAAACAACGTATGGCTAGTTTAATAGAACTTTTGACCCTGCGAATCGGCCACTAGACTTGTACAGATTACATGACAAATTCATTTTCACCTTTTCTGACTTCGTGAATTATCTACTTATGGTCCTATTTGTCACATCTTTATTTCACATTCGTTTGGCAGGTGACTAAAGTGCTATTGTCAGTTTCACATTCAACTTTGATACTAAATAAACCGCATCCACCTGTCATATCCATGATCTCAAAAATAAAATTGTCGAGATATCAGCTTATTCAATGTGTTTGGGAAAAACTTCTTATGTACTCGAAGATTCTTTGTTAGATTAAAGCAGAAGACTAGGTAATTTTAAGGACAGACAGCAGGTTCCTATCTAATCGTTGTTTTTTGTCAGAGATAATCAGTGAAAGCGAATGTGCTTAAAATATCATTCACTCGCTTGTGATCACTTTAAGGTTTAGCGAGTTTCAGATACCTGATATCTTGACAATTTTATTTTTGAGATCAAGGATATGACAGGTGGATGCGGTTTACTTGGTATCAAAGTTGAATGTGAAACTGACAATAGCACTTTAGTCACCTGCCAAACGAATGTGAAATAAAGATGTAACAAATAGGATCATTAGCGGACAACTCACCATCTAGACTATCGCTTATCTCTAAAAACTGATCGCCTAACGCTTCTCTAATTTTAACACTGGTATCTGATCGGCAAGTAAATTTTATATGGTTTTGGTCTATGTTAACAGTTAAATGACATCTTTCGAAAGATTTCAAATGTATATTTAACCCTTGAGTCTTCAGATCTTAGGAGCTATATGTTAGATCAATAAAAGTCAGCTTTTACACACTTTTCAGTTCAAATAGTTACTAAACGTTTAAAATGAAGTCGGACAGTTCTATGAAAAACGTATGTGATTCCTCCTAATTACTAGCAAAATAACACTTTTATATCAATCACATGATAATTAAGTGTAATATGCTTTTGTATGTTAAAAATAAGGTTATTCGCGTTGTATGTAAAGCCGTTCGTATACCTTTCGAGTTCACAAATACCCAGCTAATCATCTGTTTAAGGAAAATGTTAATCCCTTATATTTCACTCTGATTATCAGAATTACATTGCCATGGGATAGGAAGAGTCACCTCTCTCTCTCGAAATGCTCTCATATTGCTAAATGTAACCACTCAATACCTTCTCGCAGTAACCCTGACTCCAAACCAATGGTGCATATAGGCTCCAGGATCCTGAGGGAACAAATGGCGTATGAGTCAATTATTGGTCACCGGTTACCATGGGACTGCACCTTCTAACGTTGCACCATTGCCTTGTGGATTAAACCTGTAGGTCAAAGGCTCTAAATATGAATCCCTAGGAAAACCGCATGCTGTTGTTTGGACGCCCGGTCCTCACAAATCGAATAGTCTGTGTAGCGCACAAATATTTGGTACCTCCTTGTACCAATGTTTATGTATTTAAATAAATAAATAATAGATCAGAATCACATCTTTCCTAGCACCCATCACAACGCTTTTTGTCTTGTTACTTGCTCAGACCGCTTACATTTATAAATTCTCAAAGGAGGAATACTTCATTTAGGCCTATATAAAAACAAGGTTGAGTTTTGTTTGTTTTTTTTAGTTGAAAATCCTTACTCATAAATTTTCACCCACTTTAAATGCATCAGTAGAAATTCGAGCTTTGGTTTATCGGTATCTTCATTTCATAGATTGTTTTGTCTTGTTACTTTGAAGTTGGTCGGTTAGTTTAAATCATGAGGTAGGAAAGTTTAACAAGAAAACGTAACTAGACAAACCTCAGTAGTTATAAATCTTATGGTTCATTTGCACATTTTAATTTTATCATTACATCAGCATAACTGTATTGTGAAGTCTAAAACAGTAGTTTTGATACTAAAAGATATGATTTTAAAAGATACAATTCCTTTTTAAGCTCGATGGGGTGTCAAGAATGAGTAGTTTTAGATTTTAGGAATTGCAAGTCTAAAACACGAGTTTAGGTGTTTTATACTCTTGCATTTATTTTATCAAATGTAGCAAGTTAGACTAATGCGTTACTGTAAAAGCTATTACTCTGTTCAGTGTAACTTCCTCTGTAAATTGAATGAATTTTTAGTAGAAGGATATGATTTTTTGACAGGTTATGTCAATTTAACTGTAATCTTAACAACTGTTCGTGTGTTAAAGATGGAACAGTTCTAAGCACACTTCTCGGGTAGATAGATAAATAAGTTTCATAAACCACCAGACTACAGCTTAGGCACAAAGGCTCTTCGGTGTCTCGAAGAAAATCGATGTCACGAAAAAAGTCACTACTTTTCAAAATGAGTTAAAAGCTTAAATTTTCTAACCTCCTACTTCCGAAACCCTTTTATGGTCTATGGATGGCGTTGTTACTTTCGATTGATTTCTAACCAAAATAACTAATTTTCTAGTTTGTTTTTTCTTCTGAATTTCAGGGACCGAACTTCGAATATTCTACTGAAACACATGAAGAATTATTGTATAATAAAGAAAAATTGCTTCAAAATGGTGATAGATGGGAAGTCGAAATCTCAGAAAACCTAAAAGCAGATTATGTGTATCGATGAAGTATCATCTAGTTCATTTGGTTTGTAAATGATTTAATTCACAGGATCTGTGCACTACTAATTTCATATTTAAACAACCAATATCAACTTTTCTCATATGTTAGATTGTTAACGAATTCAAGACAGCTGGTTATTCCTAGGTACATTGATTTAGAATAAAATAGAGCTTTTGGCTTTGTCCTAGTTTCTCTTGTTTTTTTGTACGTATATACCAGTCAGTCGTCTACAACTTAGGACCAGGCACATATATGCATCGGTGCAAGTTGCCGTGCCTCATTAGCACAACAAGATGAATACCGAATTCATAGAAGCAGTTACTTCAATGGTAGTAGTATATATAAAAAAGATTGCATATAAAAATATGATACAGAGAAGAATCAGTTCGTAGAAAGAAAGGTGTTAAGTAATCTTTATCTCCCGACTTAACGGAAGGCGAAAAGTGTATACACCTACGCCATTGTGATGGATTCTGAGTCATGTCACCCAGTCCCCAACCTTTGATTACGATAGTCGCACGAACTCCAACCAAGTAGTCCGCATCTACCAACATGGCTCAGACCAGGAGTTAGTGACTTCAAGGACTGATGCCACGTTTTGGTTTGGCCGCCCCTAACTTTTTACCATTCATCTCCGAAACTAGTCAGCATTGCGCGTCGTGGTAATCGGTGTTAAGGCATACGTAATAACGTGGCCCAACCATCTCGGTCAGTGAAGATTCACAATCTCATTAACTGATTTACCATCATTCCCTAGTACCGTGTCTAACCTCACTATTACTTACCTGATGATCCCAGCAGATGCGAGCAATATTTCTAAGACATCTGTGATCAACTACTAGTAACTTACGAGTATCATCTACTCTTTGCGGCCACGTTTCGCAGCCGTGAAGTAGAACAGAACGAACTACCACGCAGTATACTCGTCCCTTAATTGATAGACAGATATCTCGCCTTCGCCATAGGTAATGTAAGTTGGCAAAAGCCAAACGAGCTTTTTGAATCCGTGCTGAGATTTCGTCAGACACCAACTCATTAAGGTTGATTAAACTTCCAAGATAAGTGAAATTGTCGACGCGTCCGACTACACTTACTGCGCATATATATATTTCTAAACTCATTATCGAGTATAGGAAAGTAAGACAAGCTAACTTAAGAATGGATACTACCCATTTCGAAAAATCCATGGCGACTATAAATTAGATTACACTTATATTGTTGAAATTAACGAAGTTAATTTTCATTTGTCTCCTTAGACTCATTCATAGTAAGATGAGGTTAAATACCACCAATTACGCAATCAGTATTCAACATGTTCTTGACAGGTCCTTACGCACTGAGAATGTTTAAGAGGAATTAGTCATTCCAAAGTTCAAAAAGTAGGAACCAATAAAGTCAAAATCGTCGGTTTTATTAGTTGAATTACCAGTTCCATGCTGTTACGAGAAGTATGTTTCTGGAGGGTTGTCTAGAAAGTCCTCATTCGTCATAAATAATGGGGAAATCATTTCAAATTTGTTATAGTGCTTAGTTTCAATTTATAAGCTTGGTTAGTATAAGTTTTATGATAAGGAGCAGATCATTAGTATGAGTCGTTTGGTAAAAAAAACCGTCATTCTTTCACAACCTTTGAATTATCGAAGTAATTGGAAAGCTCACTTGCACATGAAGTATATACTAATAATGACCAGAGCAACAGTGAATGTTTCCTAATTACAGCTATTCTATAGGTCATAACAAAACACCCACCTGAGCTTTAAGCCTTCTCCATCACTACTATTATCACAATTTGTGTTGTATGGAGTTCTAAGTGGGTTGAGACTTCTCGACAAGTGGGCTCGTCACTTTGAAGCGGCACTTCCCAAATTTATTTCGCTATCTGTCTAGACCACTTTACTGACTAGTCAACATGCATACTTTTGCAATTACTCTAGAAGGTGGCTTATAGGAATTTTACTTTAGTTAATTTTGCAACGGTGACGGTTTTAGTAACTTGGTGTAGTAGGTCACGATTGTTGTTCACAGGACAGTCTATCTCTCGTAATTCAGTGATAATATTTCAGTATTACCACAACAACACATACGTCTATATACACTTGAAAGAAGCACCTGTATTGGAAGGGCGATTTACATCACTACATTGAATTGGTTGAAAGGTATTCTGAATTTACTGAGGAGGATTGTTTATTCATCTAACTATTTAATTTCGTGCCTAACGAAGTCGTGATATTCAGTTATTAGTCTTGTATATATTAACTACTTGCTAAGATTTAAGTAGCCAAGCGATTTGTAGTAGTAGTAAGCAGAAAAACTCGTATTCATAAAGTTATCTGACAGAGGAATACTAAACAGGCGATTAGGGTCTCATTAAAAGTATTCCCCGTTAGTGAGTGCTGTTAATTAGGAATTTAGCATTTAGATACTATGAAACTTTCTTGAACCGTACAATATATTTTAATTGTTAAACGCATATTTTTTAACATACTTTGTGTGTCATGTTTATATTCAATTAAGGTTACAAACTAAAAGTATCATTCTATACTTTGCTTATGCGCATTTGTTAAGTGAAGAAATACGGTGAACATGGACAAATTTCTTTTATTTAAATATTGATTGAGTGATTTGGCTTTAGGTTAGATTCTGAAAGTTTTGATGATGAAGTTCAACGAAATCGAGATACTCACTAATGACATTAAATGATGATCGCACCGTGTTTCAAATTGAAGAAAAATTAAATTGTGAACCATTGGCTTGTGACTTGTCTGTTTAAATATGTTTTCCTGGTCGGAAAGATTAAACGCCCTTAGTTCCATCTCATTTGGGGTCATAAGTGTGCATCAGTAAGAAGTTTCAAAGTATGATTAGATACTTACCTTCTAATACATGGTTCTCGGTAGTTTTGATTTGGGCTAAAAACGAACTGACTAACTATTTAGTCATGTGTTGATCTGTTTATTTTGCTCATCATTATTTCTTAATAATGTTCTCTTTTCTAGTTATCACATCTCAATAACAGATAGAAAGTGAAAATCTGTAAAGAAATCAACCAAAGTAAACATATTTGCTTCTTTCGTTTTTTTTTTTGACAAATGACATATGCCTAGTATGCGTGACTGTCGAGCTGTCTTCATCATTCTAAAATTTATTATTACTGTGTAAAGCTTGTGTACATTAAAAACTAAAAGGAGAGATTTAAACGTGAAAAAATTTAATTATAATCAAAAAAATTTTCAATCAAATCAAAGAAAAAAGAGAATAGAGGATAAATACATAAAATATTCAACTGAAGTATAACATTTAGCGCAAAATTGACTGTTGGTTAATAATTTAATTTACACGCGAATGTATATGTATGTATTTATAATCAGATAATTATTTAGAGATTAAATTGAAGACAACAGAGTAAAAGCAGGAAATTTAACGAGTACTAAACAACTCTATCAGTATACTTATTTTTTGTTTGAAGAACTGTTTAGCATTAAGTAACTGATGTGAATATATATATAAAGAAAAACACGCATGACTACTGTTATTTGTCTACGTGAATGCTTCTCATCATTATCGGTCATCAGTTCTACAATAATATATGTGTACTCATTTGGTTTAAATAATCAAAGAAACTTATAGAACAAAATAGGAAACAAACAACTGATTATCAAAGTGAGATTCATCTCTTAAATAAAAGAAGACCCAGTAATGTATATTTAACTGAATAATTTCTAACTAGAGTAATGATTATTTACTTCAATGTAAAAAAAAAACAATTCATATTCCCACCTTCTGGTTTTTAAAAAAACTATCTAGATAATTTTGTTGTTATTGTACATTCATCTATTTGTACTAATTTTATGCGTGTATACTCAAGTTGACAGGTTCATTTGACTCGTTTTCTAACTCAAAAAATATATGTATGTTTCTTTCTTATAATAGAGCATTTTCTTTAAATAAAACTTACTTTACTCCATAGTTTCATATCATCATCATCATCATGATGTCAAAATAGGTAATAAAACACGCACATAAAGAATGCCAAATAAAATGAAATATTGAATGATATATAATATGATAAAGACCGAGAGAGAGAGAGAGAGATGTCACAAATGAAATAAATTATTTTTCAATTGACTTGTCATCACATTTGCTAGTTGCGTGTAGTTTGTTTACAAATAATTTTACAGATTTTCTACTTCATTACTATCAATTTTATTAGTATTATTATTATTCAATACGTAGTCATAAATTAAAGTATTTCAATACTAATACAATTTCAACACAAATATGTATTAACTATATGTGAAAAGTAGTTTTTTTCTTTCTTATTACTTTATAGTGTATTATGTATAGACAGATAAGATATTGTTATCATTCGATTTTTGTTTCCGAATTTGTATTAAAATATAAATTTCATATTATAAATGTAATTATTTTGATGACAAGTTGAAAGGAAAGGAAAATGTTCTAGAGAATACTTATCATCAAATATATGTATGTCATTAGAAAAATCTGGGTGTGTGTGTGTGTACGTTCGTTTAATTGTAGGTATCTATTTAGTTGCTTAAACAACTAACTTTATAAGTAAGCAAATATAAGTTTTTTTTAAAGGATTAATTTAATTTGTACATTCTCTATAGTGTAATGAAACAACACCGTTGATTTAAAAAGTATGTATTTAAATAGTTTTTTTCTGTATTAGAAATACTTGGGTAAAACTTTTAGGAAATTAATCAAACATTAAGTGCTGTTTAAAGAGATAGCATATTTTTGTAACAAGGTATTTTCAGATGGGCTAAGGGTTCTATGGACAATCGTAAAAACTCGATGGGCGATACTAGAGGACATGTTGGTTTTCTCTAGTGGTGATGGTATTCAAGGTGGGTGGTCGATTATAATTATCTGTAAGTGGTTTTGAAGATCTGGATTTAAGAAAACATCAGTTTACACGATTCTAACGAATTATATAACGGTGAGGCATCTTAGAAAACCGGTTTTTGTGGAATTCAAAGGGAAATTAGCTAGTACATATAGGAAAGATTTTGAAGAGAATAAGATTAAAGTAACTAAAACTTGGAAACATGACGCTTTATAACCTCATTTTCCTAGTTTGTGGGGTATAGTAGTGAACTTCCAAAAACTACATATTCACTCTTAACATTACCCTACATAAACACGACACAAGATAAAAATTAATAACTGTTAACTATATAAGTTACAGTAAACAATAACAAATTTTGTCACGAAATTATAACATTTAAAATGATTTAAACAATATTCGGACTAACTTCAGGATGAATATAATGAAATTGTTTTTGAACATATGTAGGAAGATTGAAATTTTCGATAGGTAACTATTCTAGAAACCTAAGAATGTATATTGGACAGTTTCAACAAAAAGAGACGAAATGTACTTATTGGTTAATTTTATGGCTCGTTCCTATGAAATAATTGATGATGCATGAGCATTGTTGTAATGTGTAAATAAATCTATTAAAACAAAATTTATTTGTCGTTAAGACATAATACATAATCATTTCATTATTGTAATAGTGTTCGATAGTCTAGATTCTTTAAACTCATTTTGTATTGAACTTACGAAATTTATGTTTAAATAAAAAATATACGAAATTTCAAATAGATTAATGTATTTTGTTCGATTACGTTACAAACCAACCTTAGTAAGAGAACCAGAAAGCATTCAAGTTGTTCCGTACTCATATGGGACTCCCCAAAAGTACACCCATGACATTATCAGGGATCGAGTCCAGAACTTAGACCTCTGGGGTAGGTAATTTCCCTTTAAACCACTAAGTTGGTACTGAATGGTTTTAATTCATAACTTCGCTCAACTCATGATATTGCATAGCATTCATTTATTACCACTGGATACATTTATTTAACGTTGGAAATCGTCGAATACAACTTGTTACAGCTTCGCACCAAAACCCCTATACTAAAGAACTGTTGTATACTGAAAACATCACAAATAAATGAAATCATTTTATTTGTGTTATATATAACATAAAATACTTGACTTTGTCATCAAATCAGGAGTAATTTCCTTTGCAACTTAAACACCCCATTAAGCGAGAGATAAAACGATAAGGGCTTGCTTTAGTGACTATGGTTATACGAATCGTTCGATAATTGAAGCCTGTGGTTATTCTAATATTGGATAATGTAGTGTTCATATCAACTCATGGAAATAATACTCTATCTTAAGAGCCTCAATAAGTACGAGCTAAATTTTTGGCTAAAAGATTTTGAAATGACTTTAAGGGACAGCGATCAAGTGCAATAGTTTCGCTGTGAAATAATCTTGGAGACAGGTTGGTTGTGATAGCGCTTCAAGTTGACCAGTAAACTTCTATCAAAATCAATTACATATACTATTTTGGTATTAACTTAATCGACGTTGTGTTGATATAAAGGAAAAACTTTTTTAAAATGTGCCTATGAAGAAGATTAATTATATTAATCCTTACTTTTAGGGAATTAAGTTATGCAAATGCATATTCACCATTTCAAAAACAAAATCATTCAGTTATTGTGTATATAATTTGGGGTATGTTTATCTTCATCATAACAAACTGTTAAATTGGATATCGTTTAGTTAGTAGTTCCTGAGGAATGACAAAAGATGAAGGTAGCCTACATTATTAGTTAGTAACTCATCAATATTATCCACTTGTGACCTTATATTATTATTATTATTGGCTTTATTCAATATTATATTTTTGGTACATTATAGAATTCTCAGAACAAAGTATTTCAACAATTTTCCTTTCTTTATTTCTTGATTGACCTTTGGGATAAATATTTAGTGGTCGCCAGTCAGATGTTAGCAGTTCAGGAGTCGACATCTGAACGATGTATGTTCTTTTCGATGGATATTGCCAGCAACCACGATGTCTCTGATTGAGCTTTTTTGTAACTTGTACAGCGAAATGTCGTAAATTTTTCACAAACACACCTGAATAGGTTATAAGACTAACAGGCATAATGGTGTGTTAAAACAAACAAGGAAACAGATAACTTGTTAAAATATCCAGATGGCAGGAACACGTAGCACAGATATTCAAGCAGGCCTCCTTGCTCTGGTGCTGTCCAAAGAAGTATACTAAAACGAACTCTGGATTTAAATGACTCATAATAGTCACTATAATTCTAAATTGCTGAGTTAAAATCCAGTGGTTTAAATTTTCCAATTTCAATTACTTTGCAACACAATAAGTTTATCATCAAATACTATAGATATCGATGGAGTTTTATTCTCTGAGCTGGATGATGCCGTTCAGAAGAACGATGAAAGCCCTACGACCAAACCATCCGACTCAGAGAGCAAAACTTTATCAAAATTATCCACCTTAGCTACAAAATTTCTCCACCATCTCAAAACCATGAATAACACTTGTTTTATTATTAACATGATAACGAATTGAACTGTTAAATAATTTATTGGATCACCATCATTTATTATCGAATCGCTAACACTAATTTTAATTGCATAAATTTATATTTATTAAAAGTAAAATTGCTAGCCATTAACTATTTATTTGATATTCACAAAAATTCTTTCCTAAATATTACCATTATTTCATCATTCAGTTTATTCTCTTTATGCATGTTAGTGTGTTAGTTTCTTTTTTTTCAGCTTCCCTTGTCATATTATTTTTGTTGTCATTCTTATTTTGTTTCACATGAGAACGTGTGTATTTTGTCTATGAATACAAAATACTCGTGTAAATAACTTTCGAGTAAATATATCTGATTTTCATGCTTCATTCAGGGAGAAAATAAGTAGATTAATAGTAGTCATATTAATTATGTGTAATTTTCTATGCATAAATATATATATATATATATATATATATATATATATATATATATATATATATAGAGAGAGAGAGAGAGAGAGAAGAAGTAAGATAAAACGAAAAAGTCATAACAAAAATCAAAGTAATATGTATATATTCACGTTTATTTCGAGTACTTACTTTAGATTGCATATACAGAATGTATATTAATATTTTATAATTAGTTGTTATATACCTTCATGTATTCGACAATGACTCTCGTTTTTTTTTCTCTCTCTACTTCTGTATATCTAGTACATACGTTATATATATATATATATATATATATATATATATATATACCCATACTTGTGTACACCTTGTCAAATTACAGAATAATCTATTCATTATCATAATTGAGTCTGTCGAATAAATCATTAAAGGGATAATGTACACTTTTATTTGGAGATGTTATTAACACATGCATATATATTACATAGATATAAATATGTGTGTATGTGAATGCAACTACAAACTTTAGAGTTAACATATTATCCAGTTTATACGATTACGTTCTACAAACAGACAATCAATTTATTCATGAATAACTAAATATTAATAAACATACATTTATATTATAATATTCGGTGGATATTATGATTTATGACTACTCTATGTTTTAATGATTT